CCCCCGAAACTTCCCTACCCCCTTCAGCTTTGTTTCGCTTAGGGCCAGGACATCCAACTTTCTTTTCATTCATAACATCAGCAATCATCTCTTTCTTGTCATCTGCACTACATCCACGCACATTTCAAGCATCCCAGTTTTATAAAGTTTTTCCTCTTCTCTTTTTTAGTAAATGTCTACAGGAGAAGGGGTTACTAGCCCATTGCTCCCGGCATTTTAGTCGCCTCATACGACACGCATGGCTTACGGAGGAAAGATTCTTTTCCACTTCCCCATGGACAATAGAAGAAATAAAGAAGAACAAGAGCTATTTAAAACAGGAGAAAAAACCTAGATGTATGTATGTATATATATATTATATATATATATATATAATATATATATATATATATAATATATATATCCTAGGTAGTGGGTTGGTAGACAGCAACCGCCCAGGGAGGTACTACCGTCCTGCCAAGTGAGTGTAAAACGGAAGCCTGTAATTGTTGTACATGATGGTAGGATTGCTGGTGTCTTTTTTTCTGTCTCATAAACATGCAAGATTTCAGGTACGTCTTGATACTTCTACTGACACTTAGGTCACACTACACACATGTACAAACATATATGTACACACCCATCTGGGTTTTCTTCTATTTTCTTTCTAGTTCTTGTTTATTTCCTCTTATCTCCATGGGGAAGTGGAACAGAATTCTTCCTCCGTAAGCTATGCGTGTTGTAAGAGGCAACTAAAATGCCGGGAGCAAGGGGCTAGTAACCCCTTCTCCTGTATATATTACTAAATGTAAAAGGAGAAACTTTCATTTTTCCTTTTGGGCCACCCACCTTGGTGGGATACGGCCGGTTTGTTGAAAGAAGAAGAAGAATATATATATATATATATATATATATATATATATATATATATATATATATATATATATGCATGTGCATGTGCATGTCTGTGAAGTGTGACCAAAGTGTAAGTAGGAGTAGCAAGATATCCCTGTTATCTAGCGTGTTTATGAAACAGAAAAAGAAACCAGCAATCCTACCATCATGCAAAACAGTTACAGGTTTCTGTTTCACAGTCATCTGGCAGGACGGTAGTACTTCCCTGGGTGGTTGCTGTCTACCAACCTACTACCTATTATGTAATTTTTATCATTATACCATGGAGAAGCACTAAACTTCTAAGTATAATACAGCACTAAACTTTTAAGTATTATTCAGGTATGATCCAAGGAACTGGAAAGTTATGTGGATCAAGAGCCCCATCACAACCATGAAAATATTTTTGAAGGGTAATTTATTGGATAAACAGTATTTTGCTCATTCATTTTATGTAATGCCTAAGGTTAATGCAAAGCATGATTAAATTGTGAACTTAACACTGATATGGTATACAATTGTTATAGGACTCTGGAATTTAAAGTTTTGATACAGGTACAACACCAATTTATTGGCAGTGGATCGTCCAGAACCTCTTTTAGTTCAGACAAAATTATGAGACTACTTGTCTGCCAAAATAGTTTACCCAGCGACCACAGATGGTGTTACATGTAATGCTCACTTACATTGTTTGCAGTGCAGTTGTTGATGGTGACCCCTTGATTCTGTGTGAACCAGTCTCCTTTTTGCTTATGTTTCCAGCAACAAACAACAAAATACCTTTCATCCGTGGACTGCTTGCAGAGGCAAAGGCAGTGTTCGCGGCTTTCACTGAGACCCACATAAAGGATCACTTAGACAACGAAATATGGATCCCAGGTTACAACCCATACAGATGAGTGAACAGGCAAAAGGGGGGGGGGGGTTTGGCCTGTACATCGCAGAGTCACTTGTTTGCACAGAACTGCTTAATGCCTCAAATGATGTAGTGGAAGTTTTAGCAGTAAAGGTCGAGAACCAAAACCTAGTCATTGTGGTAGTCTACAAGCCTCCGGATGCAACATCCCAGCAATTCCAGGAACAGCTGTTAAAAATTGACCACTATCTGGAAAATCTTCCAGCTCCTGCACCCAACATCTTGCTCCTGGGGGATTTCAACTTAAGGCACCTAAAATGGAGGAATATAGCAAATAATATTGTTGCAGTAATAACACCAGGAGGCAGCTCTGAAGAAAACTCACACTCACACGAGCTTTTAAATCTCTGCACAAAATTCAATTTAAACCAGCAAATAATAGAGCCTACTAGAATGGAGAATACACTAGACCTCATCTTCACTAACAATGATGATTTGATAAGAAATGTCACCATATCAAAAACAATATACTCAGATCACAACATAATTGAGGTTCAGACATGTATGCGCAGAGCCCCAGACCGAAAAATGAGATTAGTCACGAGGGAGCATTCACCAAATTCAACTTCAATAACAAAAACATAAATTGGGACCAAGTAAACCAAATCCTAACTGATATAAGCTGGGAAGATATACTAAGCAACACAGACCCCAACTTATGCCTAGAACAGATTAACTTGGTGGCACTCGATGTATGCACAAGACTTATTCCTCTAAGAAAAAGGAGGAGTAGATGTAAAATAGAAAGAGACAGGCGCTCTCTTTACAGGCGATGGAAAAGAATAACAGAGCGGCTAAAAGAGGTCAATCTATCTGAAATGCGTAGAGAGACGCTGGTCAGAGAAATAGCAAACATCGAACTTAAGCTAAAGGAATCTTATAGGAGTCAGGAATCGCGGGAAGAACTAATAGCCATAAATGAAATCGAAAGAAACCCAAAGTATTTCTTCTCCTATGCCAAATCAAAGTCGAGAACAACGTCCAGTATTGGGCCCTTACTTAAACAAAATGGGTCCTACACAGATGACAGCAAGGAAATGAGTGAGCTACTCAAGTCCCAATATGACTCAGTTTTTAGCAAGCCACTAACCAGACTGAGAGTCGAAGATCAAAATGAATTTTTTATGAGAGAGCCACAGAATTTGGTTAACACAAGCCTATCTGATGTTATCCTGACGCCAAATGACTTCGAACAGGCGATAAATGACATGCCCATGCATTCTGCCCCATGGCCAGACTCATGGAACTCCGTGTTCATCAAGAACTGCAAGAAGCCCCTATCACGAGCCTTTACCATCCTATGGAGAGGGAGCATGGACACGGGGGTCGTCCCACAGTTACTAAAAACAACAGACATAGCCCCACTCCACAAAGGGGCAGTAAAGCAATAGCAAAGAACTACAGACCGATAGCACTAACATCCCATATCATAAAAATCTTTGAAAGAGTCCTAAGAAGCAAGATCACCACCCATCTAGAAACCCATCAGTTACACAGCTCAGGGCAACATGGGTTTAGAACAGGTCGCTCCTGTCTGTCTCAACTATTGGATCACTACGACAAGGTCCTAGATGCACTAGAAGAGAAAAAGAATGCAGATGTAATATATACAGACTTTGCAAAAGCCTTCGACAAGTGTGACCATGGCGTAATAGCGCACAAAATGTGTGCTTAAGGAATAACAGGAAAAGTCGGTCGATGGATCTATAATTTCCTCACTAACAGAACACAGAGAGTAGTAGTCAACAGAGTAAGGTCCAAGGCAGGCACGGTGAAAAGCTCTGTTCCACAAGGCACAGTACTCGCTCCCATCTTGTTCCTCATCCTCATATCTGACATAGACAAGGATGTCAGCCACAGCACCGTGTCTTCCTTTGCAGATGACACCCGAATCTGCATGACAGTGTCTTCCATTGCAGACACTGCAAGGCTCCAGGCGGACATCAACCAAATCTTTCAGTGGGCTGCAGAAAACAATATTAAGTTCAACGATGAGAAATTTCAATTACTCAGATATGGTAAACACGAGGAAATTAAATCTTCATCAGAGTACAAAACAAATTCTGGCCACAAAATAGAGCGAAACACCAACGTCAAAGACCTGGGAGTGATCATGTCGGAGGATCTCACCTTCAAGGACCATAACATTGTATCGATCGCATCTGCTAGAAAAATGACAGGATGGATAATGAGAACCTTCAAAACGAGGGATGCCAAGCCCATGATGACACTCTTCAGGTCACTTGTTTTATCTAGGCTGGAATATTGCTGCACACTAACAGCACCTTTCAAGGCAGGTGAAATTGCGACCTAGAAAATGTACAAGAGAACCTTCATGGCGTGCATAACGGAGATAAAACACCTCAATTACTGGGAGCGCTTGGGTTCCTGAACCTGTATTCCCTGAACGCAGGTGGGAGAGATACATGTTATATACACCTGAAAATCCTAGAGACTAGTACCGAATTTGCACACAAAAATCATCACTACGAAAGCAAAAGACTTGGCAGACGATGCAACACCCCCCAATGAAAAGCAGGGGTGTCACTAGCACGATAAGAGACCATACAATAAGTGTCAGGCCCGAAGACTGTCAACTGCTTCCCAGCATACATTAAGAGGGATTACCAACAGACCCCTGAAATTTCTTCAAGCTGGCACTGGACAGCCCCTAAATCGGTTCCTGGATCAGCCGGCTGTGGCTCGTACTGGTTTGCGTGCAGCCTGCAGTAAACAGCCTGGTGATCAGGCTCTGACCACCAGGAGGCCTGGTCACGAGACCAGAGCCGCGGGGGCGTTTGACCCCCCGGAACTCTCTCCAGGTAAAACTCCAGGTAAGACCAATGTTAAATTTTATAGAACAAAGTCTGGTTTATTTCCAGAATTATCCAGTTTCTATGGTATGGTTAAATTGTTTTTGCATGCAGTGGACAAGTCCATTAAGTTACGATAATGAAAAAACATTCTCATCACTGGATTAAATAGGCAGTCAGCATTACCTCTCTCTCCTTTTTCTTCTATATTGTTTGTTAAGTTGAGATTTTATTGTTTTTACATGTACTGTATATTATTTTTGCAATGAATCGACATATTCACCAACGCAAGGTAACCCATATGAAAAACAGTTTCCTTTTTAATTTTAATAATTAGGGCAGAAGGGGTACGCTAGCCCCTTGCTATAATGTATATATGTTATTTTTATTCATTCCAGTACAAAATTTCGTTTAAAAGGATCACAAACGAAGTCAAAAAAGAAGAACCATTTCTTTTCCTCAAACCTCAATGTTATACAGAACTCATATCCTCTCTTGCCAAGTTCCGGTCCACGTGATCGTGACAATAATTATGGTGGAAGACCTGGTAAGTTTGATGTACCCTTGGTAACAATTAGCCTTTAAAATGTATAGCTTCCCTTCTTTTTATTCATATTCACCAAAGGTTATTAAGGTTCCTTATTATGTAAAGTTTAGTGTTTATAGCTTGAGTGATCTTAGTTCAGGTGTCATAGTTTAGTGTGTATTTTCCTGAGTGACTTAGTAAGCTGCCATATTTTAGTGTGTATAGCCCGAGTGATCTTAGCAGAGCTGCCATAGTTTAGTGTGTATATCCTGAATGATCTTAGGAGATCTGCCATAGTTTAGTGTGTATATCCAGAGTGATCTTAGGAGAGCTGCCATAGTTTAGTGTGTATAGCCTGAGTGATCTTAGTAGAGCTGCCATAGTTTAGTATGCATAGCCTGAGTGATCTTAATACAGTGGTCCCTCATTTATCGTAATTAATCCATTCCTGGAAGTGTTACTATTTTCGAAATCTACGATTTTCGAATCAATTTTCCCCATAAGAAATAATGTAAATACAATTAATCCATTCCTGACACCCAGAAGTACTAAAACAAAAAAAATTTTTTACATGAAATGTAGATGTAGTACATAAACAATACAATGGGACATGATGAATGAAACATTAACAGCATAACACTTACCTTTATTGGCGATTCTTAGTGTATGGAAGACTGCAGGAGGAGAGACATTGAATTACTGTTTGGAAGGGGAATCCCCTTCCATCAACACCTCAGGTACCAATTGCTTTTCTGGGGCTACTTCTCTTCTCTGTTTCTTAATGCCACTAGGACCAGATTGAGAGTCACTGGAGTCCTGTCTCGCAAAATAACTGTCCAGAGAGCTCTGTGTCTGGCATCTCTTTAACACTTCCCTAAAATGGGCCTAGACTTTGTCACTGTACATGTTGCCAGCATGGCTTGCAACAACCTTGTCAGGGTGATGTTTCTCCTTAAATCTCTCCATCTTACCCCACATCTCAAAAATCTCTTTAATTTCTGAAGAAGGCACCTTCTTCCATTTCTCTTCCTCCTCCTCTGCAGCAAGATTCTGAGCTGCGATCTGTTGCTCTTCCTGCTGAAGCTCTTGCAGCTCCTCAGTGGTGAGCTCTTCGTTGTGGTCTTCCACCAACTCATCCACATCCTCCAAACTGACATCCAACCCCATGGAACTCCCCAGTGCCACAATAGATTTAACAAGTGACATAGGCTCATCAGGGTCAGCCCCAAACTCTTCAAAATCCCTCTTGTGGACACAATCTGGCCACAATTTTCTCCAAGCAGAGTTCAAAGTCCTGGTAGTCACTCCCTCCCAAGCCTTACCTATAAGGCTTATGCAATGGAGGATGCTGAAGTGTTCTCTCCAAAAATCTCTTAGGGTCAAGTGAGTGTCTGAGGTCACATTCAAGCACCTTTAAAACATTGCTTTGGTGTAGAGTTTTTTAAAGTTTGCAATGACCTGCTGGTCCATGGGCTGGAGGAGAGGAGTGGTATTCGGGGGCAAGAACTTTGCTGTGATGAACCCAAACTCCTCGAAAATTAGGTCATCTAAGTTTGGAGGATGAGCAGGTGCATTGTCCATTACTAGGAGGCACTTGAGATCCAATTTCTGTTCCAGGAGGTAATTCTTCACACTAGGGCCAAACACTTCATTGAACCACTCGACGAAAATTTCCCTTGTGACCCATGCCTTACTATAAGATTTCCAAAACACACACAATTTACTCTTCATAACATTGTTTTTCCTGAACACTCTGGGATTTTCAGAATGGTACACTAGTAACGGCTTCACTCTGAAATCCCAACTAGCATTAGCTCAGAACATGAGTGTCAGCCTGTCTTTCATAGGCTTGTGTCCTGGCAGTGCCTTTTCCTCCTGAGTAATGTAGGTCCTCTTTGGCATTTTCTTTCAAAAGAGGCCTGTTTTGTCACAATTGAACACTTGTTCAGATTTCAGTCCTTCAGCCTCTATGTACTCTTTGAATTCATGCACATATTTTTCAGCCGCTTTGTGGTCCAAACTGGCAGCCTCACGATGCCTTACCACACTGTGTATGCCACTACGGTTCTTAAATCTCTCAAACCAACCTTTGCTGGCCTTAAATTCACTCACATCACCACTAGTTGCAGGCAATTTCTTTACCAGATCATTGTGCAACTGCCTAGCCTTTTCACAAATAATCGACGTCATAAGACTATCTCCTGCTAATTGTTTCTCGTTTATCCACACCAATAATAACTTTTCAACCTCTTTGAGTACTGTTGATCTCATTTTTGTCAGCATATTTACCCCCTTTGCAACAACAGCGTCCTTGATTTCCTTTTTCTTGGCCACGATGGAAGCTATGGTTGTATGGGGTTTGTTATACATCCTGGCCAGTTCGGCCATACGTACGCCACTTTCATATTTCAATAATGTTTTTCTTAAATTCATTTGTATTTCTCACCTTCTTTACCAAAGGCTTGGCACTAGGAGTTTCTTTGCAGCCATGGTAGCTTATTTAGTAGTTGCAAGCACTAAAATGAATGGAATATTATGAAATATGTCATATGAGCAAGTGAGGGGACCATCGCTCACTGGTAAACAATGTCACACTGGCTGGGAAGGGAGGCCGGGGCGGCTCAGAGTGTGAGTACACGTCCCAGATGAATGACTTCGCGAGTCAATCTACGATTATCGAGCCAATGTTTTGACGAAAATATTGTTACGATTTCCAAAAATTATGACTATTCAGCCCTACGATTATTGAGGGACCACTGTACAGGTGTCATAGTTTAGTGTGTATAGCCTGGGTAATCTTAGTAGAGCTGTCATAGTTTAGTGTGTATAGCCTGAGTAAACTTGATACAGTTGCCATACACCTCAAATATACCTGCATCAAAATCTGAGTGTTACCTGTTTTTATTTTAATTTAAATATTGTATTCAGAGATTTATGTAATCACTGAAGATTTCCAGATAAATTTGATGAGTGTAAGAGAGGGTGAGGGCAAAAGAGGGTGGGTGGGTGTATGTGTGTGTACTCACCTATTTTGGGTGCAGGGGTTGAGTTACAGCTCTTGGCCCCACCTCTTCACCGGTTGCTAGTAGGTCCACTCTTTCCCTGCTCCGTGAGCTTTGTCATATCTGTTCTTAAAGCTGTGTATAGATGCTGCCTCCACTGCATCACTCTTCAGACTGTTTCACTTCCTGACAACTCTATGGCTGAAGAAATGCTTCCTAACATCCCTGTGACTCATCTGAGTTTTCAACTTCGAGTTGTGTCCCCTTGTTGCTGTGTCCTATCTCTGAAACATCTTGACCTTATCCACCCATTATTATGTCTTCCCATCTCTCCTGTCCTCCAGTGTTGTCAGGTTGAGTTCCCTTAACGTCTCCTCATAGGACATATCCCTTATCTCCAGGACAAGTCTTGTTTCAAACTTTTGAGCTTTCTCTAATTTCTTGATGTGCTTAACCATGTGTGGGTTCCATTCTGGTGCTGTATACTCCAATATAGGACTCACATACAAAGTGTAAAGTCTTGAATGAGTCCTTACTCAGGTGTTGAAATGCTGTTCTTAGGTTTGCCAGGTGCCCATATGCTGCAGCAGTTATTTCAATCAATCAATCAAGTTTATTCTCTGTAAGGATTACAATGTGGGGTTTACATATTTTGAATATTGTGTGGTTTACATGTTTTAAAATACTAATTACAGAGGGGGCCACTAGGACACCTAGCATGGCTAGGCATTTTGGGCAGACTTAGATTAATTCTAAACTTTAAATTATTACAGATTATGGTATTAAGGCTAAGTGACTACATTATAGTTTTTGTGTTTAGCAATGTGAATGCTTTTGTTTTGGCACAGTACATAGTGTCTATATTGGAGTATCATAGGCAAACTTATGACTAGTTAGGATTCATTATTTTAAGATTAAGATTCGTATATCTGTGTTTATAGTCAATGGGTGAGTGAGTGTAAGTGTTACATGTAGTTAGTTGACGGGGTGTATCAGGGAGATAAGATGTTTTCTAACTGTAGTTTTGAAAGTGATGAATGTGTCTGCAGTTCTAGAGTTTTCAGGTAGAGTGTTCCAGATTTTAGGCCCTTTGACACATTGAATTTTTGTAAAGGTTTAGTCGGACATGGGGAATGTCATAGAGATGTTTGTGTCTGGTGTTATGCCTGTGGGTATTGTCACAACTATCAAGAAAGCATTTTAGGTCAAGGTTAATATTGGAATTTAAGGTCCTGTAGATGTAGATTGCACAGATATGTTCGGTATTATGTTCACCCCAAGATCCTTTTCCTTGAGTGAGGTTTGAAGTTTTTGGGCCCCTTAACCTGTACTCTGTCTGCAGTTTTCTTGGACCTTCCCCAATCTCCATGACTTTGCAATTGATGGTGTTAAACTCCAGGAGCCATTTGTTGGACCAGGCTTAGAACCTGTCCAGATCCCTTCGTAGTCCCATCCGATCCTCATCCAATTGAATTCTTTGCATTAGCTTCACATCGTCTGCAAACAGGAACAACTCTGAATCTATCCCTTCTGTCATTCATTCACCAGAAATAGCACCAGCCCTAGGACTGACTTTTGTGGAGCTCCACTCATCACAGGCACCCACTCTGATACCTCATCACATACCATCACATGGTGTTTCTTTCCTGTTAGGTATTCTTTGATCCATTGCAATGCCTTTCCTGTTATTCCTGCTTGCTCCTCTAGCTTTTGCACCAATCTCTTGTGTGGAATTGCATCGAAGGCCTTCTTGCAGTCCCAAGAAAATGCAGTCTTCCCACCCTTCTCTCTCTTGTCTTAATTCTGTCAAGTTATGGAATTACACGGGCACAAAGTTAGCGGTCTGGGCGAAATTTATGCATCGGTGATTCTGCCCACTTTGAGCCCTGTTTTAAGCCACTTTGCAGATATGCCTTCTGTCATTTGAAGACAAGAAATTGCCCATTCAACCACTACAGCTAGCCTACAAAGTGCACAGAAGTCGGCAATTTGGCCTATTTTGGATGTTAAAATATTCCA